GACGTAAAATATCCCATTTTGTGGTTGCTATTCCAAAACAGGGCAGTTGACCTTGGACTTTCTGGGTCAAAGTGGAAGAAAGCAGATCCTTGGAGATTCCAGCTTGTGCTTGATAAAGCTTACCCTTCTACTTCACCTCTTTCATGAAATCAGGCAAAGCCAAGGTGCAAATACAATTTGCCACCCCATCCACTTCAGTTTCTTAAACAAATCTTGATTTTCAATTGCTGATACATCTGTGTTGAAGTATGTAACTTCTTTATTTTAAATTATGGATTAGGTTAAGCATCTTCAGTCACCCACTATGGTTATCTTACTGGCAAATCCTGCATGTCATATTTTACTTGAGGATTGTCGCTGACTTAACTCTGTTATTGGTTCTTCCCTTGAAAGACAAAAGGAATAATTGAAATATTCCCCTTGAACTTGTGTTATTTCAGCATTGGCTATCAAATTTGCATCTGCTGTTATTACAATTTGTTCACCAGACTACATTGGCACATGAACAATTTCATTTAAAAGTCGATCAGTGGACTTAAGTAGGTTGTACTGCTTGCTCTTTTTCTCCTTTTCTGCACTTAGTTGCAAACTTTTCTGATTTCTTTCATTTGAATTTTCTTCAGTAATAACTGAACTGATTTCCAGGCCTGATAATCCTGTGTCATCAAAGATTTTGCAATGAGATCTCTGAACATCACACCCTTGACTGAGGCCTGAGACCTGCCAATCCCTAAGTGTCCTTGATGTATCCTTTCCAGGTTATCTTACTGAAGGGAACCTGAAATAACTAGTCTTCTATCATACACTATTAAGTCATCTCTGATTGTGAAATGCTATTAGTACTCAAAGTATGGATTCTTGGCTGACCCACTGGACTTTTCGTCTGGCCAGCTTTCAGCACAACACTTGTGAATGCTGTTATTTGTGTTTCTACAGCTGTGGTATTTGATCTGATTAAGACAGTGACACTCAGTATCACCCACTATCAAGTTTAAAATGAATGAGATGTCCATTGATGTAGAGAACCTGTCAAACTCTAGTAAATTGGATTGCCAGTTTCCCCAAGTAATGCATTGGTTATCTTTTCCAATCACATTAACATCTTTGTATGAGTAACTGTTTGACATTTGCTGGCCTATGACGATGACCACTTCCTTACATCTGGAAGTGACCTATTATTTTACAGATTATAATCTAAGGTGATGTTATGAGTGTCCAAGACAGATCCCAGAATTAAATCTGGCTGTCTTTCACTGAAACATAAACCCACAAGGCTGAACATTTGGATAATAAACGTCTTATTGTTAAAACTAAAGAAAGAAAAAACAGTTTGGCTTATTTTGTTCTATCTAAATATATAACAGTTTGAAAGGTTTCAAATCACGCGGCAAAACAAAAACGCATCTGCTCCCCAGCACTAAATACATTTAAGAAATAAATAGATTTCTCAAGGGTAAAGGTATCAACGGGTATGGAATATGTTGAAAAGCGGTATGGGCTCAATGGCTAAATGGCCTTTTCATGCTTACTTTCTGTATTTCCAAAGCTTTTTAGTTCGGTGGTATCTCACTGCTGCTTTAACATCTTTCCCAAGCAGATTCTTACAATTTCAATATCACAATGCCAGTTTATTTCCATCTCTTAAAGCTTTAAATACCATAAAATAGTGATGTTGTATCTATGTATTACTAAGTGGTGTTTCCCCATGAATTTGCAGTCAAAATGAAGGTTTCCCACCTCCTGCAAGCAAAATGTTGTGACACTTTTCTGTGGCAAAATGGACAGTTTCCTACCTTTCAAGACCTAATAAACAATGCTTGCACTTTCCCCCCACAACTTTCCCAAATCAAGCCTAGTGCCTTTAGCCTTAATAAACTCTTTCTGCCTGAAGTGCAGTTTTAAATTAAAGACCTCGTGCTCTTATCACAACCTGAATAACCTTCTTACAATCTTCTGTTATACTCTGCTTCAGCTGAATTTCAACTTCAGATTGGATTGTCTTGCTGCCACCATCCTCCATCCTTGACTGGGTCTCAGGGCCTATTGATTTAGAGTGCTAGTGGAAAACCAGTAGTGAATTGTAACGAGGAAAGGTTCTTGTCTTGAAGGAGGTGTAGTGTATTGCATCATTAGAACAGGTGGTGCTCAATATAGTCTCCAATGTTAACCCTTTCTAAACCATTACCTTCTACAACAATCACAAAGATGATTTAGGCCTCTGAGATAACAAGGTGTAGAGCTGGATGAACACAGCAGGCCAAGCAGCATCAGAGGAGCAGGAAAGCTGACGTTTTGGGTCAAGACCCTTCTTCAGAAATGGGGGAGGGGAAGGGGATTCTGAAATAAATAGGGAGAGAGGGGGAGGCGGATAGAAGATGGATAAAGGAGAAGATAGGTGGAGAGGAGACAGACAGGTCAAAGAGGTGGGGTTGGAGCCAGTAAAGATGAGTGTAGGTGGGGAGTTAGGGAGGGGATAGGTCGGTCCAGGGAGGATGGACAGGTCAAGGAAGCGGGATGAGGTTAGTGGGTAGGAGATGGGGGTGGGGCTTGAGGTGGGAGGAATGGTTAAGGAGGCGGGGATGAGCTGGGCTGGTTTTGGGATGCGGTAGGGGGAGGGGAGATTTTGAAGCTTGTGAAGTCCACATTGATACCCTTGGGCTGCAGGGTTCCCAAGCAAAATATGAGATGCTGTTCCTGCAGCTTTCAGGTGGCATCATTGTGGCAATGCAGGAGACCCAGGATGGACATGTCATCCAAGGAGTGGGAGGGGGAGTTGAAATGGTTCGCGACTGGGAGGTGTTGTCGTTTGTCACGAACCGAGTGTAGGTGTTCCGCAAGGAGGTCCCCAAGCCTCCGCTTAGTTTCCCCGATGTAGCGAAGGCCACAATGGGAACAGGGGATACAGTATACCACATTAACAGATGTGCAGGTGAACATCTGTTTGATGTGGTAGGTCTTCTTAGGGCCTGGGATGGGGGTGAGGGGGGAGGTGTAGGGGCAGGTGTAGCACTTCCTGCGGTTGCAGGGAAAAGTGCCGGGTGTGGTGGGTCTGGAGGGGAGTGTGGAGCAGACAAGGGAGTCACGGAGAGAGTGGTCCCTCCGGAAAGCAGGTAAGGGTGGGGAGGGAAAATTGTCTTTGGTAGTGGGGTCAGATTGCAGATGGCGGAAGTGTCGGAGGATGATGCGTTGGAAGCTGCCCCACCAGCATCGGCACTTCCTACTATCTTTGATTTAGGCCTCTGCCTCACTGGTAGCTGTCAGGTGTGTCCTGCGGGAAAGTGAGGGGGAACAGAAGGGAGGAGGGGCATTTCTGCTCCTTCTGGCTCCATGTGAAAGCAAGTGAGAGGGGAAAAAAAAAGTGTTTTTTCTTTAGGCCTCCAAAGGACCACACTCATAAACCATAATCCAGAACAGAGCTCCAGGAGTACATATTCCCAGCAAGATCTTCAAATAGCATCAGGCCCCTGATTTTTATACCCAAATCCTACAGAACTCCAAGTACTGACTATTACAGGTATCCAGTTCTGTGGTGTCCATCTATGCTCCAACGCTCAACTGACTTTTCTTCATGTATAGAAAGAGATAGCACATGGCTGGTGATGGTTGTTGATGGAGGGAACTTCATATGAACCAAAATATACATGAATTGTTCAGAGAGGGTCATCTGATCATAGTCAAGTTTGGAACAAAGTCTGGTTTTTTATACTCCTCAGACCAAAGGGACTGTGGTCAATTGTTAATTCCATTTCATTGTTTCAGTGCAAATAAAAATAGCAAATATCACAGTCTGAGATCAGCAGTCCTCCTACTTTGCATTGTGCCTGGTATTGGGTCAATAGACCAAGTCATCTGGGAGCTGGGAATTGGCAGGTTGATGTTGAATGTCGGAAACTAAGGGTCTGTGGAGAATCCTGTTTTATTCAAAGACCCCTGATTGCTATAAGGGGCCACAATCTTGTCACTAAAAGAAATGGCTACATCTTTACACAGTCCAAATTCATAAAATTATGATTCAAATATCACATAATTCATACCATTTATTACAAATCCATTTTCCAACAAAACTGCTAAAACAGCAATAATTACCACAGATACATTGACCAGTTGTTTTAAATACATATATATTTAAGGACTTTTTTAAAAACTAGAAAATTTTTAACTACTTGGACATTCTCTGGATTAAGTGGGTTTCACCATGTGATTTCTTGGAAGTGAAGTGAACCATCTGAAGTGTCTGCTTTCTTGCTTTTTACAGGAAATCAAGCAACTTTGAAAGCTGCGCTTAGCTGTTTCACCAAAGAGATCAAAGATAGAGTTTATTGCCCTAACTAGTGAAAGAAAATCTGAATTTGAGAGGACTGGTGGCCTCTGTGCTCATGGCTGCCTAGCAACCCTCTCTGGAGTTCTGTTCTGTAGACCCAGGAGTCAGAAAAGCACCTGAGAAGTTGCATATCTCTGGAAAGCTGGACTGTGACCATATTCAAGAGACTTGCGTCCCCAAGTTGATTGGAATCAGAACTGGACATTTATCATAAATTTATTGCTGTCAGCAATTCAGCTTCATTGAAAGGAAAATGTGGATAGGATAAGTCATCACATTCTGCCCTTTGTTTCAAGATCCTTGATCCACAGGGGTTTTTTTCCTTCTCCTTTTCAAAAAAAGACATTGCATCTGCAGAAATTTGCCTTTTTGTGTCTTGTGAATGTATCTCTGTGTGGAATAAAGGGCATATAAATTTGATTCCAGATCATAGCTTAGACAATAATAATAAGTTTTGTTCATATTAAATGTCTTATTTTGAGTACATTAAAGTAACCAGATGGATGTTTATTTTTGATAGTAGTACTAAAGAGGATCAATGGCCATTTTGGTAATTGAATCAATATATTTACACTAATGGTGTGACTAGTGGTGTAGTGGGGCTTGATTATTAGCATTAGCATTAGTCATAACACAGTATCTTGTAGTAATATTGTCTAACATACAAAATTTATTTTAGAAGCTGAATCAAAGAAGCGGCAAAACCTGAGTGGATAAAGCAGCCTGTGATGAACTGAAAGATGAATGTTACTGAAAAGAGCTGTTAGGAAAAACAGACATCCAGACTGTAAGAACATTACTATTGCTTGATATCTTGGTGATTACCGATTTTGCAATTTAGGATTGAAATTTTTTGAATAATACGTTTTCAATAAATCAATTGCTAAGTAGTGTATAATACTATATTGAAGCTCAGATTAGTACAGGATTCATCTGATGTTGTGGCGAAGATCATAGCCCAGATATTGCTGCTGATAATAATGTGCAAAGCTTCATAATTACTTTTGAAATTTATGTCTTTGCCATTTTTGCAAAGGTGTTAATTTTTTAAAGCTGATATCACAAGCAGTAACCTTAGGAGTTATATTTATAATATTTCAAATTCCCCTCAATGTATATAATTATTCTGTTGGTATTGTATTATGTTGGGAGTTGCAGTTTATAATTCTTCTCCAATTCCAACTTGATCAGCATTCCACCCTGCAAAGCAAAGACTTGAAGCTAGCAAAGTCAAAGGGAAAATAAGCAGCTGCATTTCATTCAACAACAGCCCCTGGCACATCTTGGATAATTTGGCGTTTACTAATATGATCTAGGAAAGCGACAATGGAAAATCCAGCTCTAAGTGCATTATTAGCAATTAAGCAATAATTAAATTCTGCTATCTCAGCTCTGTCTTACCTAACACATCAGCCTGTGTTTATGTCTAACTTGGCACTAGCACAAACCACATTCTGTGTCAATGTCTGCGTCTGTTGTAAATGAGGTTCAGCAATGAAACAAACAGTTCTGTGATTTCCAGGATGCAATCAGTAATACAGGAAGTTATTTGGGACCCACTGATAGGCATAAAAACCACAAGTTGTGAAGTTGCAAATGTCATCTCATGTAAAATCTCACTGGGATTCTGCCCAGTACCACATCGAAAGGCAATTTTAGGAAACCTATTAAATTTCAAATTTATCTGTTGAAATAGTGCCTGATTCCTTGTTAGATGCCTGTCTCATCACCAATACACATTTTTTCATGTAGGAGTCCAGACAGTGAATGCCCTGTGTCAGGCTATTGGATTGTGCAGGTTGTCATGTTTAAATCCATTTCAGCACATAATACTGAAACTTCTTCACCCAAAGAGTGGTTACAAAGTAAATCTCAGTACCCTATTGATTGGTTGAGGCTGTTGGTATAGATTCATTTGAGTTAAATAAACACGAGGGAGAAAAAATATGAGGATCTGCTGATCGGGAGAAATTCAGGGGGATGAGGGAAGACTTATGTGGAGGATTAATGGTTCTGATGCCACACAGCTTCGTCATCTGATGCAGGTTGATCCAATTTGCCTGAACAACCTGCATGTTGAGTATTTTTATGGGTATATCTCCAAGAGTTAATGACTTTCCACTGGAAAATATCAACACAGAGGGACTCACATGGTTAAGAAACCATGTCACTTTTGCTAAATCTGAAATGTGGGCATTGTCCCTCAGATTGAAAGTGACTTCCATAACTCACCTTTACGAATGGAATGGAAGCAAGCTCATCTGTGACAGTCATCATGGTATTTTCATTTGTTTCCAGAATATAAAGTTTTAAAGGGATTATTCTCAACAGGATTGTCACCTTCTTGACTCGATGTACCTGGAATCAAAAGTGGCTTTCATGCTGGAAAAGGAATGGTTGCTGTGAACTTTGCAGTGTGCCAGCGTGATGCAGAATGATCCTCTCAGATGCTTATCCTGTTACTAGGGGCATCAAGCAAGGCTGCATAGTGGCTCCATCATATTTGCCGCTGCTTTTCAGCCATTCACTTGTCTGTACTGATATTGACATAGGAATACACATTCAGTTTAGGACAGAGAGCAACCTCCTCAATCCACAAAGACTCCAGGCTCCCACAGAGATCACCAAACAACTACCTGTTCTGCACTCATGTTTGCTAATGATTGTGCTTTCATAATACACACTATAGAAGATATTCAAATGTTTGTAGACCACTTTGCCCAATCTTCTAAGCATTTTAGAGATCTTGTACCAAACTGCTCCTGTCCACAAACTCCCAGGACTCCAAAGTCACAATCCATAATATACCTTTTGACTCCATTCATAAGTTCTGCTATTTTGGAAGGAACCTCTCCAAAAGTACTGCACTGGATGTGATGTCACCTGCCCCCTGCCAAAACAAGTTCAATGTTCAGCAGGATCACTCACAGACTTTGCAGAGAGCATTGGAGTTTGTTTTGAGACTAAATCAACATCTGCCAGACAGTGATTCCCAAAACATCTCTCTATGGCTGTGAAGCATAGACAACTTATTGGCATCACATGAAGCAACAAGATGCAATCCACCTTCACAGCTTATGGTCTGCAACATGAAGTGGCAGGACAAAAATTCTAATATCAGGTAATCAATGCATGCTCGTTAGAGCTCAGCTTTACTATGTATGCCTTGGTTTGCTTGAAGGATCCCTGCATACCAAAGTCAGTACTCCATATCAGGCAGAGCACAGAAACCCACAGCATAGGACATCTCAATCTTAGCTATTATGATGTAGATAAGATATTCTGAAAGCCATTGTCAGATCTTGTAAGTTGAACCCTGCCATATGGGACAGAACAATCCTGGACAGTTTGAAACAAAGAAGATCTGTCATCAGAGGATGAGTTGAAAAAGTCCTGAGTTGGATCCCTACAAGTCAATGGAGGATGGTGTAAAACCAGTGCCACCACCCAACCCTTCAACAGTGATATATTTGCAATCAGACCTGCAAAGCAGGATTTAGTTTAACATCATGACTGAGATTACACCAACCTCTATGGTGAATGATTGGTTTCCCTACTGAACACTCATTGAAGCCATGGAAGGATTTATCATCAAACATTACTGTGTTTGGAATGCATGATTAAATTGCTCACAGTCACCCGACACCTGGTCCTCACTGGCTTCTTGTTGTGACTATTTAACAGGCAGATGCTGACCACGCAGAGAGGAACATTATTGAATTCCAGTGGGCAATATACAATGATGTCATTCAGGGTGCAATGTTATTTCATCTCTCATTGTGCCTGCTTTGTGCTTTATTTCAAATGTCACAATGATGGGAAGAAGCAGCAAAACCAGGAGAGAGTTTCCTTCCACAATAAAAGGAGTAGGAGCTTTCCTGGAGCCTCACAGAGAATCTTGGGCCCTGGGCTTCCTTCCACCAATTAGGTTGGACCTTTTTTCTTTCCATTTATGCATGTTCTCTATCTCCATTGTTATTATTGTGATATTATTTATGAGTTTGTAGTTTTTATTTGTACTTGCTTATATCCAGTAATTAGTTATATCTTTGGCCTTCAATATTGAATATTGTTGTTTCAATATGCTAATGACTGTGTCTGACTTCAGTGAGCAAAGAATTAGTTGTCCTTAAAACAACTTGCAGAAATACATCCTAATCATTATTCCTTCTTTAGGAATGTTATCCTGGTTCTCAATGGCTATCACCAACCACCAGAGAAATAAAAGAAAATGGCATCAAGTTGATCATGTTTTAATATCATGTAACTCAAGCTACAAGTCACAGGTTCATCCTTAGACAGTTAATTCCATTTGATTTGTCACTGAACTTGTGTTAGTGAAATATCATTAGTGTTTATGATTTATGGCGAGCTTTCAGAAAGATCATTCTTTGCAATCAGTTAAAGACATTCATTATTCTATGGAAAATACACATCATTTTACTCGGCAATCAACAAATCTTTTTATATAATATGTCAGTCATTGTCAAATTAATATTTCACAGCAAATATTATCACATTAAAACAGAGACTGGCAAGCATTGAATTCCTTCTAACACAGTTAGTGAACACAAAAGAGATTCAGATTGAGTATCAAACAACTGACACTTTTTGGACAGTTCTTATGTACTGTATAGGAAAGAACATAGGAAAGCAAAAAGAAAGCATCAATGTTGTATGGTATTATAGAATGGCCAAAAGTGCTTCAAGTTCAAAAAATTACCTTTGAAATGCAATCTTTGGTATTTGTGGACAGGTTAAAAAGTTAAAATTTGCACATTCTTAGCAGACCATAGCGCTGTTCTCTCATTAGAGAGAACCGACTGGTGGAATTTGAACCTGAGTCAACATGTCTCAGGGCAGAGTTGGAGAAGGATAGTTCTTCATGAGTGCATCATTTGGTGTAGGAATTGAACCTGCGTTGTTGGTGTAACTCTGCAATGCAAACCAGCAGTCCAGCCACCCACTCCTTGTATGGGCAAATGTGACAGCGGATATGCGCACAGGATCCAACAAGGGGCAACAAGATTAATGTATTTGAATCACTGTGGACGGAAAGAACTAAAGCTGACAGATGTGCTGACTTTCTCCATCACTTTCTGTTTTTATATCAGATTTCTAGCTGCAATATTTTGCTTTTATTTTACTGTTTTTGATGCTGTAGATTTCTGGGAAAATGTTGCTGATATTTCCCGGCAGTTCTTGAAGTAAACATGATAGCTGTGGGTCAATGTCACCTTCAAAGGGAAGTACAGCTTACGATCAAAGCTATTAGCAATGTCCTTACTGTTAAAGCCTGAGCACATCCCAGTAAAAACTTTTGGAAAAATGAAGCCATGGAAATAACTACATCAGTTTCGGTGCCCTGAGAATTCAGAAGACCCAAATATCCAAAGTTGCACATTTCTGTGTGGTGCCGGCAATTTGGAAGCTGCGCTTACACCATCGACACTGCCGCTAAGTGGTGCAACAAGCGCGTACGCGTACAAAACAGCACCGCAATGCTATATTGCTACCATACGACAGAGCGGTAGCTGCCTGTCTCAAAAATGGTTACAGAGATAGTAGGAACTGCCGATGCTGGAGAATCTGAGATAAAAAGGTGTAGAGCTGGATGAACACAGCAGACCAAGCAGCATCAGAGGAGCAGGAAGGCTGACGTTTCGGGTCGAGACCCTTCTTCAGATGCTGTCTCAAAGATGGCATTGCTCATACCTTCACAACACGGAAGTAAGTTTTTCAAGGTCCCCACTCATGAAAATCTGCATCAAGAAGACAGCCATCTATCGCATCAGTTGACGAGGATTTGTTGCCGCAGTTGCCTTCCTAGCGAGTGGATTTGAGTACAGGAGCAATCATACAGGGCCTTGGTGAGAAGAAAGCTAAAATATTGTGTGCAGTTTTGGTCTCTTTATCTGAGGAATGATGTTCTTGCTATCGAGGGAGCACAGAAAGATTTACCAGACTGATTATGGGATAGCAGGCCCTATCTATGAGAAGTTGAATCAGTTGAGATAATACTTGCTGGAATTTAGAAGATTGAGCGGGGGGGGGGGGGGTTCTCATGGAAGCTTATAAAATTCTAACAGGATTAGACAGGGTAGATGCAGGAAGGATGTCCCTGATGATGGTGGAGTCCAGAACCAGGGGTCACAGTCTAAGTATACAGGGTAAACCATTTAGAACTGAAATGGGTGAATACTGGATTGTTATCAGTATGAATTTCAATGACAACAGTGAACATTCAATTTAACAATGAGTACTATGAAGGATTAAAAGTAAAGGAAGTTCACTTTTCCAAATT